CCCGGCCGCAAGCGGCCGGGACGTTGACCTTCGGGATGAACATGTTGTGTTGTTGTGTGTATAGTATAGTGTGATGAGGTGACGATGCGATGTATAGTAGAGATGTCGCTTTCGATTATCGCAGTTGAACGATTATCGATATTCAATGTCAATTCGAGATATCCATGTATTTTTTATATAAGGATTTTTTATATAAGGATTTAAGAGAGAACATGCGATAACTCGAAACCAACTCGAATCGAACTCGAAAATGATGAGAATCGAATTGAAGAAAATCGAACTCGAAGTAGACCGGTCATGAACGATGCAAAACTAATAGAGCGTCGTTTCTTCAAATAAAAAAGGCCATCTTATTTTTCGGATGAAAACATATTATTGTGATTCATCTTAACATTCATCACCATGAGAACATTGATGAATAATCAAGGTTAGAGAAAAAAAGAAGGAAATGAAGAAAATGAAGTGGAAAAAGCGTAATAAAAAGGAATCAACGTCCCGGCCGCGGAGCGGTCGGGGCGGCGTTAGTAATGTTTACAAGTGATACATAGCGTCTGACAGAAATAATTTGGGAAATATTGACGTCCACTTACAATATATCAATTATCGGAATACAAATATAGCACTTAGTAGTTCGCCCGTAATAATCGACCATTCGATTTTTTTCTAGTCCGGTTGTGGTAGTTTTGTCTACATACTTTCTAATTACGATAGTATTAAAACATATCCGACTACCAACGGCATAATGAGGATGTTCTTTTCTCGTTGGAGCCACGAATATATTAATGAATTGATCATTGAATGTCGCGATGAATTGCATAGAGTGGAATATATCCACAACATTTTTTACCTCTCTGATTAAACTCCCGTTTTACTGCAGTTTCATATTAAAGTCATTATATTGTGCAGCCTTGCGCAAGAGGATTATGGTACGCTCACAGTTATTATTTAGTTTAATCGGTGGACTTTCGGTGGTTTATCTCCCGTAGTTTCATTGAACTACGGGATGAACTAGAAGCGGTGTGAGTAAGTAATTGGTTGCGAGTTTCCCGTAAATTAGAAATCTAGTGGATGACGAGATGACCAGAGAGAGGAAGAAGGGCAGATTGAGAGACGATTCATTTTAGATGAGCCAAGATGCATGCAATGTTTCGAATTTGATTATTAGATTTGGTGCATTAGGATGAAATGGAAGCCGCAAACGAGGTTACATAGACAAAAGTAACGAACTTACCGGTAGAGGTAATCTCTCATATCAGATTAATCTTTCGCTAAAACCAAATAGGGCTTTATATAGCTTTATAGTTTTATCAGCTCTGTCTAAGGCTGTGAAATGATAACATCTTTTCAAGCTTGAAAAACCAGCCTTGCAACATGGTTGATTGTTTAGCCTAGAATAAACCTTGATTAACTAAATTGATAAGGTTGACTAAACTCTTACAGTATATGATAATCTTAAATAGTGAAAAAAAAATCATAATTTACACTTTTATGGAGGATTATTATTATTAATTGTTTCTCATCTACGCACCCCTAACGCAATTATCGCTTATAATACCACGAGAGGTTTGGAATTATCGGAATATTTGCCAATAGGTGCGTTGCGAACAAATGAGTGCGTTAAGTTTTCCAGGTTAAAAAATCACGAGTGCGAAGCACAAGAAACTAATATTCATAGTTTTGCGCTATTTATTTGATAACCATTATCAGATATAAATTAAAATGGGACGTTACAGAATAATAATAATAATAACGATAATAATCAGTCTTTTGTATCTACACATGGGGTGATTGCAGCCTGCAGATGCCATGCCTTAATAGTGGCTGGTCAGATGCAAAAAGCTGTCATCCTTGGGTCCCTTCGACTACTTAAATATCATGATTGCGGACTGCGGTAGTACTCACGCTCTGGTTGAAAGGAGCACTATTACAGAGCGATTAGAACTTGTTTGTATCGCGTAGCTTGCTGGGTGGTCGTCGAGGTGAAGTCGGCGCCCTCGAGGATCATCCAGCAAACTCACTCACGAGTAAAAATTAAAAAAAAATTAATAATTAATATTGATTAATTTTCATCGGTCTATTTTATCCGATCAAAATCAGACTCTTGACTCAGAGTGACTCTGGTGATTCTGGTCACCGCAAGACTCACAACAGTCTCAGCATTGATTCTTTTGGATTCTTTTGTGTGAATCAATTGTCAAAGGCTAATCTTTAAAAAGTTATTCATGAACTGCAATTTGGTCCTTCCAATCTGTACTGATACAATATATAATCTACTTTCTGATATTATTCCAAATCATGATTAGTCATGAGCAAATAATCTATTTTTCAGATCAATTAATGATTCGGGTGGTCGAACACATCAACATTCAAGTGAATCGTTCGGTAACTACTGATGAATATTAAATGGTTTCCAATTTAACTGCGCCATTATCGGTGACAGTTAGCGAATCGTGGCAACCGAATTTTGTATCAGTCTTCCAATAAACCATCAAATACATGCTCTTAAAATACTTAAACAAATTTGTAACCGCTCGTCTACTGCAGAAGACATGTGATTGTCAGTTTACATGCTATTAACGTTTCTAATTCTTGATTTTCACCAATTCCGTCGCTTTTCATTTAAAGGAGTGATTCTTTATATGGTTCATGACTCGGCGTTATATCTAAGTAAAATCCAATGAAAAATGAGTTACCATAATGGTTGGATTAAAGTAAAAATAGGTCGTCTCCATGAATATTCAGAACTTCTCGTCATTTAATTTCAATATCTCTTCATTATCTCGTTTAATCATCATTGAAAGATGCTAATTTGGAAGAAATTGACGGTTGACAAGTGATTATTAATGTCCGTTGCTTTTTTCAAGGTGCACTGGTTTCAACAGCAGCATGAGAAGAAGCGGAAGAAGCGAGATTACGAGGTACCTGGATCTTACAGCTTTGGTAGCGACTATCCTGGGTTATTCGAGGACTACTCACCGTCTCGACAGCGTCAGACATTTCATCGTCAACGGAATCGAGGTGCACCACTTCAAAATTTATTCACGGATCCACTATTCAAGGAACAATGGTATCTGGTAAGTTTTCTCGATTTTATTCTTTTTATGGTATAATTAAAGTGTCTTCTCAGTGTGGAGCAGTTTCACGAACTAATAGCCCGTCTTGCGCAACACGCACATTTATGGCGCACAAAAACTAAAGCGTCACAGACATTTCCAAAAAAAAATGCTTGAAAAAAAATATAATGAAACTTGTTATATTCCATGTTCGGTACTGATGGAAAATCAATTTTCGTCTACAGTGCATAACGGGAATATACTAGAATCGATTATAAAACATTGACGCACGTTAAAATAGAACATTGGAAAAAATTGTTATATTGAAAAAATTCGATTTGGTTCTCTATTTGTGATAGATTGAGGAAGCATGCGATAAACACATCGCCTGTAAAAAAAACGAGAATTGGGATGAAATTGAGATAAAAATCGAGAAAGAAATGACGATTGTCAGAGTCCATAAGCTTATTTTTACAGTTACCATCACTTTTTCTATTGGTTTACGGCCACTTCATGGACTCAATTTTGATTTTAGAATTTTTCAGGGGGGTAT